TCGATAATAGATTGTGTGAATACTGTGTTGAACGAAATCAACTTTATGTTGAAGACGAATATCATTTTATAGCTATTTGCCATCGTTATCAACGTATTAGAGCAGAATGTTTGCCTGTATGGCTCCGCACCAACCCCACTTACAACAAAATTATCTCGCTCATGAGTTCAAGAAACGATGTAATTTTAAATCAGTTAGCAAGTTATGTTTATTTCGCCATGAAAAGCAGAACTTAAATGATTTTTGTTTTCTCTATTGTTACAATTGTTAAGTGAAACTGTATTTGCTCTTTGGGCCAATGGCCTTTTGCTTTGTAATAAATATACTATTAAATACTGTAAAACAAGCTAAAGAATGTGAAAATAATGTAAACAATTTAAAAGTGAACTGATGAAATAGGTTTAAATGAACTAGATAAATCCAAAATGGAATTAGATAAAGAATACAAGTACATAACAGAGGGGCAAATTATAAGATCAAGAACAAAACAGTATGAAAAATGGGAGAGAAAGAATAAATAAATTCTTAGTTCAGATAATAAATACAAATAAATCATCAATTAACTTTCAAACAATCTGAATCATATTTCAACCTATTAAATGAATATATATCATGTAAAATGGAAAGAAAAATGATGTAAGAAATGTACATAACTTGTGATTACATGAATATGCAGTTTTAGGTTTTATTTGGGTTTCTGAACAAGTTTTGTTTCTTCACTTACACTTTGCTTGGTTTCAAAGCATACAAACACAAATACAATAACAGAACTGAGAATAACAAGAAAAGCACCAATTATTTCTAAATTAACTACTTGTTTATGAAATACAATGACATCAGCTAAAAAGTCAGCAACAATATTGATGTTAAATAAAATTGTTGTTTTACCAGCACTCTGTAACTGTAAGGATCTGTTGTAGGAGTACAAGTAAACAAGAAACAATGATATCATCCCTACTAGATATGCAGTTGTGATGGGATATGCAGGTATCAATGCATACATCCGATCACTACTTGTAGGGTACACTAATATTAACATAATTATAGCACCACATAACCCATTGTAGAATACAAATAGACAGCCATACTCCTGATAAAAGGGCGTACACATATCCGAGTGTAGATGAATGTGTGTTATTACCAAATATGAATTGAGGTCGTGATACTAATATAATCCC